GAAGTGGCTAATCGATCAGAAAGAAAGAATACTTAATTTAAAACATTTCTGTGAAATTTCATGCTTGTATCACTAAGTGAACAATTTTGCCAAAAAAAATGATGTTAGCCGCTACACTAATACATTATTGTCAGATTCAATCCAACATCTCAATATCCTGTATTCGCAGCAACAATTACTTTTTAACAAATAAAGTTTAAAACCTTATAATTAGCAATCTGTTATCAAGCGATCATTTGCTTGCTTAAAGAACAGTACAATCAAACGAATAACAGTACATTCATTACTGGCATTTCGTTTCAGATCAAAGTAAGAAGGTGACGAAGGTTACACGCTTATACAAGGCTACGGCTAAACACTACGCAGAAAATACTCCTAAAGGTATTCATTTCACTTCATTTCGTTTCAGATCACCAGAAGGTGGCGAAGGTTTAAACAGATTTACGCGTCTACAAGTTAAGGGTGGCAGGGGTGGCACATTTGTATTTATTATTCGCATCAGAGATCAGACGGCAAATCTGCCAATGTCCACATGATAAAGCGATGTACACTGTCAGCGGATTTGCTGCAAAGCTAATAGGAAATGATCGAGGGAGCGAGTGAAATTCGCACCCATAACAAAAAGTGAAACCCATTTATTTAAAAACTGAGAAACAAATATGTACTTAACCTTTTATAACACATAACACTTATAACACTTTTGTATGTGCTTCTCGCTAGATTTTCAGTACTTTGCTTTCGCCCTTAGCAGTCCTTGAGCCCTGCTCTCCCATACTTAAGACATAATTTGCATAACTGTCAGTTCTCTTTTCTTCTCCTAGTACATGCAAGAGTTAAACATAGGCAATCACTGAATGTGGCACTTCCGGAGAAAAATTATATCCATGATAAAAGGCTTCTCGCCACTGTGCGAGAACAACCAAGACATAGCTCTCTTTCATCGGTCAGGAGTTTGCATGTTGTAGAAGCGACGTTTAATTCAGTTTAGTTAATTTAATTTATTGATACATCTCTAACACACTCGGCTATCTTCAAATGATGTCTGTGAGGGATGACAGTTAAATGAGATCTTGACGCGTGAAACACACCAACAACCAAACGTACCTGAAGATGACCTGTCAGCAGACGCCTTGTACGGCAGGTGTTCCAAACATTTGTTGTAGTCAAGATATAGTCCATATGAACTCCCAATCACACGTATAAAGTATAATGAATATTTACCGGGGATTCAGGCTAACACTGCTGAAAGTAAGGAGAGGACTGGTTGAGGCTTGGATGTAGAGGCTTAAATTAGTAGGTACATGACTTTTTGCTTTCCGTCTAGAACACAGTCTTTGTTATTAATCTTTAAAGGCTTTTTAGACACAGCAAAGCACTTCAAGGAAAAACTTAAAACGAACGAGCTATCTTTTAAAAGAATAAAGTCTTGTTAAGGGTAGCGGTAAAGGACCCGTAATTATTATTAAATTGTACTGCTTAACGTACTCTCAAGATCAAAGGAAAATTTTTTTAAATCGTTAGAATAAAACATGTTAAATTTTTTTTATGAAATTGCTTTGTGTATAATGTGTTCCTCCTGCGACCGGTTTCTGGTCTTAAAAGACTTCCTGATAAAAATCACAATTTCGCGTTCATGGGATCTTGAATTACCTAGCTGAATTTGAATTTTGTGAACCTTGGTTTACCTAGACATGTTAAGTGAACGGGTAACTGAAAGACAGGTGCAATGAAAGACGCAATTTCCTCACTCTGGAGTTAAGTCTTGGAAATAATTAAATCGATTTCCTCATGCTCAGAACAGTAAGAACATAATTCCTGTTAGTTTTCTAGCATCCACGCAATATTGATTAAAGTTAAAATTAGACATTTCTGAAGTCTATAATCTGTTCAACGCGGGTATTTTCTTTAGTTCACTCATACCCCCCGCGGGGAATATGAGGACGATGAGGAAGGTGCTATTAATACCTTTTGTTTTCACTGGTTATGATGTACGTAATTTAGCTGTTGAAGTTTGGAATCTTTTAATTATCATTAATTCTAACTCTGAATTCTTCGGTCTGTCACTGCATCTGATTTATCAGCTATTCTCTTAAACTATGGTTCAGACTTCGTCTACAAAAAAGAATCATTATATTCACGCCAGATAGTGCACGTCAGCCCGGCAGCCAGCCAACTCAATTGCTTATCGTTTCGCACGATTTGAGTTTCCTACCTTTTTATTTCTTTCTAGATTAATGTAGCTCAACCGTTGCGGCAATGTCTTTCCACAGTTCGTTTAACATTTAGTGATATATTTTACTTATCAGTATGTAGGCTTCTGTTGGTAAAAAAATGTTACCTTGGTAAGGTAAGGTAAGGTAATTTATTTTACGTCAAGAACATGGGGAGTGGTTGCCCAAGTCTCCCGAGCCAGGGGCTCATGATAAAAGTGTTTGACATACATGCTAAAAAAAAGATTTAAAAACTATATATTAAAAAATACAACTAAACGAACAACGAAAGGGGAAAACGTTAGTAAATGAAGCATTTTGGAAAGGGTGCATGTACGTATGGCCTTAATGACATGTGAAAGAGTGCAGATCGGAAACGAAATGATACTAGTTCATTCTGTTCTTTCTGTTGACGGTGAAAGCAGGTACCAGTTTCGATTAGACAGCTCGGTGGAACAAACTGAAACGTTCACGATCGAAGATATTAGAAAAACCAGAATAGAGTGATAGAAATCTAAAGGCTGAGGTTACAACACTGTAATTATTTAATTAAGATCCTAAAAGATCAGCTACACTGTAACTCGATTTTTAAAAAAAAACGAAAATAATTATGACTGGCAACTACGAATTATAACAAACATATCGTAAGCAGCAGGCCATTTGTATCAAATGAGCTCTCTCTGGGAAAAGCTTTCAGCCTACCACTGGGTTCACACAATCGGAACAGGGGAGTACATCCTGGGCTGAACTTACGTCGCCCCAGAGTGAGTGCCATGTGCACACCTAATAAGATAGATCTTGATCCTGTCAAGGTGATAGCATCGTATCATGCATCATTTGGCCCGTTGTTCTAATTCATAATAGTATCATCAGTAAAGCTAGAAAAAAAAAACATAGCCTCCCTAGATATGTCGCAACCCAAGGTTTTCAACCATAATGTCTCCGAGTGTAACAAGTGGGAGGCAACACTGGTTCCCCTTTAGCGCAGTCAAGGAAGCTAAGATATAATTTTAAGTACTGCAAAGCTTTGCCTCTTTCCCTGTGGGTGTAGTTCTAATTCCTTAATGCGCACTAAAGCAGGGTCTCAGTAAAACAAGATAATGTTAACATTAACTTAAAAGAAATACAGTAAAAATAAAGTGTTCACTTAGCCCACGACTGCAGGGAATCATGGTAGTTGTATTCATCAAAACAAGTAGCCAGTCCAGGATGATGAAAACAACTACCATGATTCCCTGCAGGAGCATCTCATAGAGGGAATTCGCCATTGATTTTTACCGTCAGGTGTAAGTGACCGATGCAATTCTCTCCGCGTACTTGTTCATCTACACTTTTGTCTACATTACATTACGCGTGGACCGTGGCACGAAGCCACCAGTGCTTGTAGGTTATACGTATCAGAAGTTTTGTTAGCATTGTAAGTTTCTTGTTTTTTTCTTAATTTTTTTGCTGTCGCTTTCCTAGAAATTGCCATATAAGGACAAGAATGGACACGGACTTTCTTAATTAACAAAGTAAATATGTCAGAGGAACAGGTCGGCAACAACCGTAATCACATTGATGAAGCAATTGAAAATCACAACAACGATGATGAAAAATACTGCAGTTGTTTTAAACAGAACTACTTCATTCCAAAGGTGTTTTATTTCTTTTACTTTGCTGGACTTGGTGCCGTGGTACCGTATCTACCTTTGTTTTATAAACAACTTGGTCTTCCAGCTAAAAAGGCGGGGATAATATCTGGTACTCAGCCTTTTATATCATTTTTATTTACCCCGCTGTGGGGTGCTTTTGCTGACAGGTTCAAAAAGGGAAAGTTGGTGTTTATCATTTCTTTTATGGCCATGGTAGCTGTGGGAATAGCGTTTTTGTTGACCCCAATGCAGCCTTGTGAGGACGATCTAGGCGGAGAAAGTCGACGCGAAATGACGATAACGCGGAATCGCTCTTTTGTTGCCAAGATTTCTCAAATAATGGCAGAATCACAAGAACTCGATCGTTGGCCAATGGAAATGGCGGACAAGATGAATTTACAAACATTGCAGAGTAAGCAACATCGCCATGAAGGTGAATTCAACGTATTTTTGTTCTTGCTGCTCGTGAGTTTGTTCGGTACACTTTTCTCGTGCCCAGGCCTTGCTCTTGGTGACGCCGCTGCTGTTTGCTTATTACGAAGGAACAATGACGTGCACAAATATGGCAAACAAAAGAGGTGGGCCTCCACAGGTTGGGGCGTGGCGGCTCTTACTTTTGGAGCCATTATAAGTGACCAATACCTGTGTCCTTTTGTACCAGGACAAAAAAGAAAAATCAACTACAGCCTGTGTTTTTATGGCTCCATCACGTTGAAGCTTTTAGCCCTCTTCTCGGGTCTTCGTCTAGATTTTGATATGAATGGGAAGAAAGATAACAGCACAGGCAATGAGAAACAAAGTGGAGTTAAAGCAGCAATCAGAGCAATAAGTCGACCAAGTTATGTTGCATTTTTTCTGGTCGTTCTTTACAGTGGAATGACGTTTGGCATGATCTTGGGATTCCTTTTTTGGCACCTGGAAGACTTTTCAGCTCCTCAGATAATTTTCAGCATAATACCACTGGTGCGATCTATCGCAGATGTAGTGGTGTACACTGTATCACCTTACTTAATACCTAAAATAGGTGTTCTTAATCTCATCTATCTCGTTCTGGTGGGTTACGTCACGAGATTGGCCTGTTACGTTTTTATTACCAATACCTGGTGTTTCCTCTTTCTTGAAATACTGTCAGGCCTGACATCTGCGGGAGGCTGGGCAGGATTTGTCGCGTTTATTGCTTATAATTCTGTGGAGGGAGCTCCTGCTACATTACAAGGTAACATTTCAATATCAAGAACTCTCTCTATGACAAAATTTTTATGTGGCTAAAAGATGCTTAAAAAGGTTCAAAAATAAGTAAAAAACTTGTCTATGTAAGGTGGCTAAGTCCAATAAAACGGTCAGGAGAATTCCACATGAACCATAAAGGTAACAACAGTAAATGAGCTGGCTCATAAAACTAATGACTATGAGGACCAATAATACATCTTAATAAGTTGTATATACATGCCTAGAACACTGAGCAATATTTATATTTTCACAAATGATACTTGTAGAATTGTGTAGGATACAAAACAGCCCACTTGTGTAATTGGAAAGATAATCTTACGGCCAGAGAAGACTTTATTAAGTTGATAACATGGATAAAAATTCACTTGTTTCATCTTTCAACAGGAATGCTTCATGGCGTATACCACGGTATAGGTCACGGACTGGGGCGAGTAGTTGGAGGCTTTCTGTTCAGTACTTTAGGAGCTCAAGCCACGTTTATCATATTTGGTTGCCTTGGGATAACGATGTTGATAATGTTTGCGGCAGTCAATAAAATATTTCAGGATGTTAGGAAAAAATAAAATTTTNTTTTTTTTTTTGGTTACTAAGTTCATCACAACTACACGTCTTAAAATGTCTACGTTATATATATATCTACACCTATACTATTTAACAATTATTCTATTATTCCACAAGCGCACGTTGAATATGAGATGGTAGATAGCCAACAAGGCGCGTAGCGCCGAGTTTGCTATAATCATCCCATATCCAACAAACGCGAGTGGAACAATTGTTTTATTAAAAACGCCCCCAAAGTGTAGAAAACTAATCTAAAACAAAAGTAACAAGGACCCAAAAATTCGCGCGTATACTTACCATATTTGTAGAGCATGGTATGATGGCTCATAACCCATATTGGCTAAGACAACGAAAACTGTCGAATTGCATTATCCAATGATCCAATCTTTAATAAATAGCTACAGCACTTAGTTCGCCTGGTCTCTTGACCTGTTTTTACAGCATCGCCGCCATAGATCACTGTATTCAAGCAATAACAATTAATATGTTAAAGTTTAGCTTTATTATATTTGTTAATAAAAGCAAAAGTTAAAAGGACACAAAAGCTAGCGAGGGCATACAAGAGAAAGGAGCTCTTCATTCCGGCTACATATACAAGTGACCCTCCTAAAAGTCCACCAGCTGCAAAACCTAATCCCATGTAAACACCGTTCAAAATCCCTTGAACTGTGTTGGATGCTCCCGGATGTAAACCTACATACGATACACAAGATGACCAGAATGCTGCGGTTGTAATTCCTTGGAGTAACTCCGCTGGCAAAACGACCCAAGGGCTCTCAACGAAATAAAAGTAAATGAAACGAACAGAGTAACAAAACAGGGTGACATAAATAACGTTGATATGACCGAGGTAGCAGAGGAGTTTGTCTGTGATGAAAAACACACACACCTCGGCTGCACAATTGAGTCCGTTAATTACGCTAAATAACAATTGTCCGCCTCCTAGCTCGTGAAGGTACCAAAACAGAAACGTTTCTATGAAGCCCGTGGCTGAACCACAGAAAAACGCGATGAAAATGACAAAACAGAACTGAGGACTGCGGAAGATCTTGAGACCTTCAGATATATTTGCAGTCTTTGAAATATCTGTAGGAGAATCTTCGGTTGACTGGGCCTGATCAAACTGAAACTGAGTAGCAAACAGGAAAGCCACACTCATCCCTGCTGCATAAACATAAAAACACGGTCCGTAGTCAATTACATCCTCACCACAGTGATTCTTGTGATAGTTTGTGCTGGCAGAAGCCCCGACAGAAAATCCTCCAATTCCCCACCCCAAAGATCCCCACAGCCTCACTCCACCATACTTATGAGTTTCACCTCCAAGGTTTTGAAGTGTCACTGTATCTGCCAGCACCTGCGCCGGAGCCGCGACGATCGTACCAATGATAGTCACGAGAAGTAAAAATAGAAACTCTTTAGAATTACAACTGATATGCTGACCACTTGTCACTACTCCATTCATGGAATCCTGGAACTGCTTTTGATCGGAAGGTTGTAAGTTTGCTATATCTACCTCGGGTTTTTCTTTCCAGTGCTCTGTATCCTCTAGGCCCTTATTTCCTTGCGACGTTATACTACAAACATCTCGAAAATCTTGAAACGTAAACGGAATAAATGGCACAGTGGTGTCAAGATAAGGCGACACCCTTGAATGAAAATCGTGCACGTGTTTTCTTGTCCGTTGGCGTGTGATGATATTTTGATAACTTGTATTTCGTATAGGTTCAAATGAAATCTCATCTTCGTTACTATAATTATAAACATCACACAATCTAGGATCATTATTAACAGGAACAAAGTACAACGAGAAGTTTGAGACGAGCCATCCTAAAACAGACACCAGAAAAATAGCCTTACTCTTACAGAACCTGTCGGCGCATGCGCCCCAAAGAGGTGTTACGCAGAACTGAAGTAGAGGACGAATGCCAATAAGTATTCCATTCTGATGCGAAGATAATTTCAGTTGTTTGAAATAAACCGGTAAATATGGAAATAGCGCACCAATGGCCACGTAAAATGAAGCGTAAAAAGCTTTCGACAGCCACAGTCTCTTATCCACTGTAGGAAAACATCTCCTTACGCCACTTACGTTGTTATCACTGTCGAGCATTCTAGAGAGTTGAAGCTTTGTTGACTGAGGCACCGCAGTAGTTCACCACCGCGAAATAGATTTACCCACCAGCTGTCATGTTAAGGTTAACGTGGCTTATTAAGATTGAAAGCGTTCTTCATCGATACGTTAACTTCACATGTTGAATAGCACGCAGTTGTTCTGTGATTCTCGTAGTTAACGCAATTAAGCACGAGATTTCTTCGTTGTCTTCGCAGGAGTTAACCTCAATACACTCCACCAGAAGAGCGAAGTCTTTCTTAAAAACGCAGCTGATCTCTTGGTTGGGGAGACTTCTAACAGGGTATTATTTGTTCTTTAAAAAAAACATGACTGGTACTTGGTGACGCTTGACTACGTTTTTGCGAGTCCTGTCACAGAATAGGAAGTATCTGGTAAAGTATGATCAAATAGGTCATCCTGCCAAAAGAACTACACAACACTAGAAGAAAATAGAACATGTGGGACTCTAATCTCAGTCCTTTTGTTGTAACTCTCTTAACAACAGTTTTTATTAGCAACTAATTTTGGAACTAAAACAATATGTCGCAGGTGACAGACTATCGCACACTCGATTTAACTGGATCAATGGGTAGAACTCAAGAGACGTATGAGCAAAATAATTACACAATTTTGGGTTTGCACCAGGCAAAAGTAACTTGTAAATCGTATATAAAAGTAATTTTAAGTAGAAATAGTTTAACATGGAAATGTGGCTTTCAAATTAATAAAATTGGGACAAGACGCAACGTGGGTCTCTCGTTATCATTAAGAAGCAAATATAATACTTGAAAATTAATCGCTTCTTAAATCCAACCACCGCACCCTCCTCTTACAAAAAGGTCTCTTTAATAGCTACTCTCAATAAGGAAATAAAATACTACATTGATAATGGCAAATTTTAATACTGTTGGATATGGCGAATAGTATCTATTAAAACATTATATTAACTTTTATAAAGCTGCTTGATTACCTATATACTTCGTGGGGCGAATGATAGAATGAAACGAAGTTTCAAAGTGATTTGTAAGGCAAGCTTTAAACAAGTTGCCGCATATTGCTGCATATTGCTGCATATTCTTCCACAACGCCTCATTGTTATACTTCTATATATCTTGCGCAGTACATTTGTGATCATGAAAATACGGCCACAATATATTGTACGAATATATATTTTATATATATACTTTATATATACTTTATGTGGATATAAATGTTAAAAGTGTGCTTTGAAAAAATACAAAACTGCTGAGAAAAAAAAACACCTTTTCATAAATAAACTGACAGTAAAAGCAGAATCAGGCCGAGGGATTACTATGACTTTAATCCAAAAAATTACGTACACCCCGCATTGAGCACCCAAATATAAATTCTTTGTTTAAAACCATTAAAATGATATCTTAAACCTTTCTTAGCTATTTAAATAGGGTTTCAAACATTGGTAAACTATCTCGGCCATTTTATCATAGCCGTAAGGGGTAAGATGAAGGTGATCATTCCACAAAATAGACTGAGCCTGGAGCGAGAGTGAATGTCTTGGTAGCTGGTTGGCCAGGTCGCATAGCACTACACTTCCTTGTGATCTACGAGCATAGTCCCTCAAATCCTCGTTGAGTCTATTGCGCATGACCCAGAGTGTTTTATAATTTGGCCAGGCTTCATAGGCCGTTTCTGGAATAGTTAGAAGCACAGTTCGTGCACCGTATCTGTGCGCGATTTCATGGAGCACTTCAATATCACGGACGATTCTCGGTTTCCAGATACTTATTAACTGATTCATGAACGAATCGTCGTCACCGAAGTTCTTTACATGCGCTACGTCATTAGTTCCGCCAAGAATTATCACCCAATCAAATCGCGAGCTGTTTCCAAGTACTTCCGGTAGGCGCCTTGCCATGCTGCCATGCGCCATTTCGCGCACTTTCCCGCTCGTCTTAACGTAATACTTTATTCTCCCTTCTGAATTTAACAGCTGGCTAAGTCTTTGGCTGTATGGATGGAAATTGTGCCCGTGGTTGTAAAATCCACTGGTCAAACTATCTCCGAAACATAAAATGCTTCGGGAATAAGGATCTGAATTAATTACCTGAGGGAAAACAGCAGACTGTAAAGGTGACACCGAAGTGGAAATTGCAGAAGATCCTTGACGTGTTGCCGGTAACTGAACTGATGAAGGAGCTGATAGAGGACCAGGCGGAAGCCCCACGGGGGAAATTTGTGAGATTGCTGGTAAAGAGATCGATTGTACCGCCGGTGTATCCGGATGTGTTAATGACGGCGGAGCCTGGATGGTAGTCACAGAAGGTGTTGGTGTGGACCTTGTTATCGGCGGCTGTACGGGAATCTTTGGCAGCAGAGTAGTCTTCAGAAGAGCAATAGTTGATCTTCGCGTAGGTTTTACCGCCGGCTTGTTTGTGACTACTGTTTCCTTTGCCGAGATTGTATTTCTCAGGCTATTTGACACTAACTTTCCAAACCCTAACCTCGCCAAAATACTGGTCAGACCTGACTTGTCCGCTGTTCTCTTTGGTTGCGATGTTCGTTGTTTTGATGGCAATGGTCGCCTTGGGTTGTGTTCCTTTGGCTTTGATTTCAATCTCGGATTTCCTTGTACCTTCCCAGCTCTCTTAAGCAGCAATGGAAGGATGTTCCTCATGATGTCCTCGATGTTGTTGTCATTTGATTTAGTCTTCAATGTTGGAGTCTGACTGGTCGGTGTGGTTGATGTTGACGTCTTCTGTGTAGTTGTGGGCTTTCTTGGTTTTGTTGTTGCCATAGTGACTGCCGATTTGCCAGCATTAGCGTCACCATTAATGATCCCAACTACTGCAGGAAGTATTTTTGCCAGAAGTTTCTGAATTGTGTTGTTATTGCTCTTTTCTTGGATTCTCTGCGCATGCTTTGGTGAATCTTTTTTACTTGCCTCTTGTTTGGTCATTTTATTTTTCTTAACATTTAGTTCAGTTTTCGTCTTGTTTTTACTTTGCGAAGACTTTTTGGTTTCACTTTGGCTTTGCGTAAGGACTGCTTCGAGTGAATCAAACACATTATTGCCCGTGGTTGAGTTAGCTTTTTTCCTGTTACGCATCTTAGCAAGTTTAAGAACTTTCAAGAGTTTTCGGTAGAATATTTTATCGGAGTCCACAATCAGACCCTTTGTTTTACCAGTCGAATCCTTCTTTTTGTTTCCTGAAGCCAGTTTTTTCTTCCGGTAATGTTTTGCCTTTTTGTTGTCATGAGACTTTTTCAATTTATGTTGTTTAACACGTTTGTTATCATGATGAGCGACTTTAGACTCATGATGACGATGTCTTTTGTTGGTTGCTGTTTTATGTGTGTGATGACCTCCTGTCCACTTGTTGCTTGTGACGCCTCCTTCCCTTGCCTTCACTTTGTTCTTTTTCTTGTGATGAATCAACTTGCCCTTCCTGTGATTATGCTTGTGCCCATTCTTTGAAGATACAGACTTAACATTGAATTTCTTCGCATCTTCTTTCTCCATTTTGCGTACAAACTGTTCAGATATGCTCCAAACCTTCGTGTCCTTGCCCTCAGCAGGGACAAGTTTCATGGCATGTGCATAAGAGGGTTCACAAATACGCACGTTGTATCGCGGAATCTCATCTTGATCATTTGAAGAAGCTTTGTGAACGTGAATAACTCCTTTTGTTACATACCACTTTTTACTACACAGTTGCGCATACTTTAAAGAATATCTCCGTGGATGGTGTCCCCTCCTTACTCTTAACCTTACAGGCCGGCAGATCAGTAATGTGTGCAAAAACCGCCTGTTATGTCCAGACGCCCGAGTAATTTTGACTGTTCCTCGAGTTGAAAACTGAGAAATAAGTTTGCAAGTTCTAACGCGATGCCGGCTGATTTTCCATTTACCGTGAATTTCGTCATTCACAGTATGGTGCTCTCTATAACGACGGTAGAGCTTGAAGTTAAAAAAGTTATGCTGACGCCTATGTGAAACGTGGTGCGCGCGAAAATGTTTCTGACGACGAAAGTGCTGTATATGGTTGTCGTGAGCCCATGATTTTGGGTAACTAGCTTGTGTTGTTTCCTGTGGATGTGGAATATTTGTCCGTTTATGCTTGTGTGATATAAAACGAAGCTTTTTATATACCTCGAGATTCTTTCTCGCCTGATGCTGCACATGCACCTTTGTTGAAATGCGCGTTCTTTTGTATTTTGGCGGATTTGGTTTGAGCTGCTTGTTGCCTGTTGTTTTACCATAATGGTGATCCTTATTTATATTTTCCTCATGATATTTCTTTCCAAGATGCTTAAATACTTTCCTGTTACCATTCACTTTACGATGTCTTGCTGAACGGGCTTTCTTCTCATTGCTGTTGTTTTTCTCGTCGATATCTTCGATGTATTCGTATTCAATGTGCTTTCTGGAATGATTTCGTTTCTTTTTGTTGTGTTTCGTGACCTTTCTCCTAGACTTCTTTCGTTTTTTCCTGCTCTTTCTAAAGTGGTGCGGTGACTTATTAGCATCATGGGAACTTTCTGTAAGAAAGGAGATGAGGGGAGAAGGAGAAGTCTGGGCACCACCGTCTGCATTCTGAAAAGCGTTGTCTCCATAGTAAGCGTTGTCGTAGAAACTTTGAGGAACCGTGTTCTTGTTCGTAGGAAAATAATAGGGAGCTCTGTAAGAGATGTTTGTCAAAGGAGATGACAGCAGGGCTGCATTTTCGTTATATATTCCCATGGAATTACTGCTGTAAGGAATGAGATTAGAAGCCTTAGCTCCAAATGGTAACCTTTGATTGCTATTTACTCCGCCTGGAAATGGAAGCCGAAGGTAAGGATTAAAAGCCGCGGGGTACGGTAATGTGGGGGACGGAACCGTAAAATACGGTAATCTTGTAACCGACGGATAATTTACTTGCGGTTGAACAGTATTAAGCGAGCCTGGATAATAATCATCAGAGTTTTTCGTCGCTCCTCCACTCGATGGCCAAGTAGGGGATGGGTTTCCAACGATGACGTTTCCTCTTGTCGGATAATCGACGTTGTTGTTAACGGAAGAAATTTTGTCACGCTCCTTTTTCTCTGGAGGATAGTAAACTGTAGGTGATGGCTTCCTTTGAGGAAAAGGACGAAGATTCTTTACACTTTGGTGAAAATGATCAAGGATATTCTCTGTTTTAATCCACTCGTGCGCACTGGCATAGTCAGTTGGAGTATGCGCCGTGGGACTTAACACCGTTGGTGAAGTCGAGTTACTAGACCCCGGCCTCCTTGCGGAGCGAGAGTGTGCACTGACGATTTTCCAAATCGTATAGAGAAATGTCAGGATAAACAAGGAGAAAACGGCATAAAACGCCACAGATCCGTAGCCACGGTGACAAGACACAAGCAAGCTAAATTTTTCTGCGCAGTTAAGGTTACCGCTGACCTCCTGCAGTCTTGACCGTGTATTCATATTTTGAATTCTTTTCCACCGATAACTCTGAGGTACAGAAGCGGTTCCAGATACCCCAGTACCGGATGTCCGACTTTCCTGCTCTCCAACCATTGACAATTACATCAAGTCGACTAAAGAAACATAAAAGATCAGATTTTAGAGTAGTTCAGTACACCTGCAACTGATCTGAAAGGCTATCTGCTGATGATTAAATTAGCCACACATAACAATGCGCATTCCATTGCAACTTGCTTTAAGAGTCACTGTCCAAACGGTTGTTTCAACTTTTTCAACGTGTTCGGCTACATTTACTCTGTTTAACTAACATATATTCATTGCAACTTTCATAGAAATTATAAGGGGCGTGGTGAAAGGCCCTAATAAAGCAAAACAAAATTCAACGCGTGAACCTTATAGCATAAATCACCAGAAATTGAAAAAGTGGGAAACAAAGGGAAATATCTTTATATTCGCACACTTTTAAAGGATTTTCATGCTTAGTCTAGCAGTACAAGTTCCGTCGTTATGAACGCTCTAATGAACCAGCTGATGCATTGCGCGAAGTCGGTATTTTGTACGCACATTATAAAGGCGGTTTATTTGATCTGTTCCGCTTGAATGGGCGAACAAGTTCGTTAAGCATTCATTTGGCTAATAGCCTTAACAGGTGAGCAAATTGTGAAACAGACGAGATTGTTTGGTCAAACAAGTGGCATGAACCAATACCTGACAACAGTACTAGAATGCAATGTCAAACCAACGTAAATGATCTACATCCACTACACCGACGTGCGCTTCCAACGCCTTGTTAAACAAAACAAGATATTTGCACTTACTTCAATCAGGAAAATGCACTGAATCAGGAAAACTTCTTGGGCGTATCCACTCTGCCATCTTGTAGAGCTTTGACGTCTGTCAAATATCACATTTTTCGCAATTCTACGAAACAAGCAAATAGTTTGCCCATTCGACGATGGATTTGTTTACCCCGAGGCTGTTCTCGTTGAATTTAACAGCGAAAGTTAGACCAATTTTATGCCCATGATGGAGAACCTGTTTTCGCACTTGAAAGCGAATTATGGCAAACTTCCTTTGCAGAAAACTAAAAATATATATTTGGAAATGATGAAGGACAAAAGTTGTCAAAAATGAGGTCATGTTGTCAGTATAAACGTTTTGCGAGCTTCTTCTTTTACATTCCAGTTTGCCAATTTTTTTAATCGCATATCCTTGGATTTTGCGTTTATTCTAATAACTCAGTGAACTTTTAGCTATAATCATAATAAAAATAATTTAGATTATCGAGACATAATAAAACTAACACAAATCAAAACAATTGACAGCTGTAAATGTAAAATCTCTGATAACCACTCCAGTGAAACAACATGTAACGCGACGCAAAATTCACTTATTCCGTTTTCTATCTCATTTGGCTCATTGATATGGACTGAAGTGTGCTCTCTGGGTGACACGAAAGCCCCTGAACGCAAGCTGCAGGAAATCAATTGATTATATGAGAGATGTATTACTTTATAGGGAGAGAATAAATAAGATCATATATTATGAAACTGTGTAAAGCCGGGTAATGTTTAGAAAAGGCTACTCTGTTTGCTTGTAATAATAATAATATTCCGATAGTTTTAGATATGAAACACATTAGTACGTAATTAAAGCGAAAAAACAGACGCGGTATAATGGTAGGTAATGGTAATAGACCATTTTACAGTTCTGCGAAATGTAACCGAGCCTTCGCATGGAAGATTTGGGTTTAACCGGACTGTGAGGAGTCCTGTGAGGATAGATAACTTAACACGATAATTAACATCTGAAAAACAGCAAAGTTTGTGTCATAATTAAATCAACTCCAGCCACGCTTGGGCGCGAAGCAAGGAACTGTAAAATCATTTGTTTCTTATTGTCTTGTGAAATTTATCCCCAGCAAGCAAATCAAATGGTAAAAACTCAGATAGCTTTCGATATAAAAGTAAAACACTACAGAGCACCGAACCATTGCTGCCGAATGATTTGAAAAAGGTTTTCACGCTGTTCCGTTAGTTCAGGAGCCTTAAAAATCAGAATCAAATATATTTTAATCACCGCTTACTGTAAAAATATGGGCGTCAAGGACATTTGTACCCCGACATGAAAAACACAGCTCAAAGTTGTAACATCTGTAATGGTTAAAACGGTGTGTAAAACAACGCATTTAAATGTTAGGATTTGGTAGATTATTGGACTCCACGCAAGCTGCCCAAGCACTTAGACTGTAAAGGGATTTTTTCACCGCCTTTCCCGTTCTCCAGTTAAGGGGAAAATTAACGAAACCACAATATGAGCCGTTTGACGCCACATTCACTGTCGGAAAATATTCGTTAAGTTCTATCTTAGCAAGGCTTAATCATTTGTTAAGACACCAGTCGAGACTGGTTTCCGCAGAATGCCAAGCTTAATCACGTGACTAAACATGCACTCATATACTCCCTAAAGAGATCTGGGTTCGATATGATCACGTGACTAAATTGTTTTCGTCTTAACCAGTCTGTGTGGTCCATGAAGAACAAGTAAACAATTTCAACACGGAATTATTTAAATCAACTCTTTCTTTCAAGTCTCTGTAAGCAAAGGGAAACCGTGATCCTGTCATTTCATAAAACTGTTAAGACCGTTAGATGAAAAGCAATAGCAAACCCTAACGAGACACAAAACAATTCACTGAAGGAGGACATCTTCAGCTGTTTTGATTGCGCTTTTCCAAATTAAGCATTTCATGTTTTGAGAACAATGGTTAAATTCATATTAACTATTTGCCCAAGTTATTTTCCGGCAGATGGGTCAAGAGTCGTTCGTGGCCGGTACCTGCAAAACAAGAAACAAGAACAGGTTGTTTAGCCTTCTCTTTAATCTCGACCGTAACATGATCAGGAAACCGAAATCATGGCAGGAACTTCAGCAAGAAGAAAAAAATAGCGTTGAAGAAAGTGTTCCACGAAGTGAACAGGCTGCGAGAAAAAATACGACCGGCGCTGATGACGACGGTAGCGAGGATGAGTTGTATGGCTTGGCTCTCATACTGCGAAACACTGAAGACGTCGTCAGAAAGAACGATAATTTGTACAGTGTGTCATACCAGCACCAGCCTAACAATCAAGAAAATATTGAGGAACAAGCAACATCTAGTTCATCGAAATACGAAGAAGACAAACCACACTTTAGGTGTTGCCCGAGTCTAAACAGACGCCTCGTTATTTACAAGAGTTTTTACTTCTTTTTCTTCTCAGCTGTTGGTTCGTTATTTCCTTATCTCGCGGTATTTTATAAACAGCTATGGCTTTCTGCGCACGAAACTGGAATATTAATTGGCATCAGACCTCTGATACAGCTTTTTGGAACACCAATGTGGGGAATAATAGCAGATACATACAAGAGAGGCAAGGTCGTTTTCGTTATGTCTCTTGTGGCGTGGCTGGTTTCCAACTATTCTCTGTCTCTTGTATCCCCTGTATTTCATTTAGGCGTGTGCAAAGACAACGCAACGGTGGGAATTGTGCAAGAAATTATTGGAGAACTTGAGAATGGAACCACAGCCGGGAGGAATTCCGCCTTTCATCATAAGCAGAAGGCACCTCAACAAGTGAATACAGGGAATGCTAGTAATCATTGGTTTGAAATTGTTGGAAAAGTGAAGGAGAGAAATGCATCGAAGCGAAACACAATTAAACGTCCAAAGGAGAAAAGGCGAGGTCAAGTAAACACAGCGCTTCCGGTCGAGGACAATCAAATTATATTTCGTAATGCATCAAAAATCAAGAGAAAAAGCGGTAATAAACATCGCTCTCTCGCCAAATCGATAGTAAATCGCATAAACTCATCTACAGGGAATAAAAAAAGTTTTCCACCTAAGAAAAAGACGGGTGGCGTCAAGCTAAACTTAATGAAAAGAGACTTGAAACCCTACATCCAGGCAAGAACGAACTTCAATGTTCCACACTTAGTTAAACAACGTGGCATGATTACAAACAACAATGCTGTGATCTCCAAATTAGATCTCTTTGAACTTCTTCATAATTCAAGCGATATTGATATTGACGAGCTTTCCAGCAGATTAAACAGAGAGCGCGTAGAAAGAGTTTTTGATTCTCTTAACATGGCAGGAGAGTACCCATGGCCACTGGACACAGTTGCTAACTTTGACTTGACACAAAAGTCACATGACTGGCAAACTCCTCGAGATTCTCAATTGTTTACCATTCTTTTTGTTATTACTGCTATTGGGACATTAATTGCCGCACCAGCCATCACCTTAGCTGATACTGCTACACTGCAAAACCTTGGTAAGCCTATCAACTTTAATGTTATAATTACACGAACATAAAAACACATTTTAGACAATAACCCACCCAGCCTATAAGTTACCTCAAGAGAATCATATTCTCTTGGTTATCTTTATCGCTGGCCCGGATTGTTAAATGGTGGATAACGCTAACCACCAGATAAATAGCTATCTAGTTGATAGCGTTGTATAAGGTTAACACTTATCCACTATAAACCGTTTTATCCACTCTTTGAACAACTGGGCCCTGGTCATTACATTGCTTCGAACACACGCATGACTGAGACCTAGGGCAAACGTCGAGCGCATCGATTGAATAGCACGGGGACACGTGCTTATTCCCGTGTTTTAATGAGGTGAAAATGTGAAATAGGATCGACGTAGGTTCGACGCTTGCTACCACGTACGCTGGAATTAAGTCGAATCTTTGTCGCACCTATTTTTAATTTATTCGACGCGACTTGGATTCCACGTTTGCCCTAGGCCTAACCGTTATCTGAAGTATAAATTTTAACAAAGCTTTCCTCCGTTTTCTCCGGTTTTCTTTTCAAACGAGACATCCTTAGCGTGTCTTACAAGACCAAAAACAGTTCTGTATGAAAAGGACTCGCCAGATAGTCCAAAGTTTTTTATCCATAGCAGCTAACGTCAGTATTCTGTGTTCAATTAAAAAAACTCACGAGTAGGTACCTCTTCCAACCAGCCTACAACAAAGAGTAGTAATATAATGTCAGATCATAGACATGTAAACACTTAACTCGCCGTTGGTTATTCTAAATACCCATCCAGTAATTGTTTATTATTAGATTCTCAGACTTGGAAAAGGCGTCTGATTCGGTCAACGATTCTCGGTTATCGGCTATTATACCTGGGTCTTTTTTATCTTATATGGATGTGGAAGCACAGTGGCCTCATGGTTAGTGAGCTCGTCTCCGGATCGAGCGGTCCGGGTTTGAGCCTGGCCGGGGACATTTTGTTGTGCTCTTGGGCAAGACATTTTACTCTCACAGTGCCTCTCTCCACACAGGTGTATAAATGGGTACCGGAGAACTCAATGCTGGGGGTTACCCTGAGATGGACTATAGTCGCTACATGCTACAGAAACCGGGTTAAGCTCCGGGCTGATGGGCCACTTGGCTTGTATGCAAACTTTACCTTTTACCTACCCCTCTCAAACTCATTAATTATTCATGCAGCTCTTATCCAACCAGAGCATCTTATTCTGGTCACGTGGATGGGTTTAGAAACCCAGTTAAAAACGAGTTGAAAACCACGGCGTGTTTGGAAATAATTTCAAACACGGATGCAAATTTTCTTAATTTGCATATTGATAAAGCAAGAAAAACACATGACGATAAAAAAATGTATTTAATCACTTTACTTTTTATTTAATCATTTTACAAAACAAACTTTAAACCTAAATTATTTTAGTACTGCTGGCGTTAAATGTAACGGTACAGTTATTAAACTCCCCAAAACAGAAAGGGCCATTCTTTTTCTAAAATTTAAATTCTCGCTCAATGGTGGCGACCTCGTCTTTTGGTTCGCTTTCAACCTTGCTGTACACTTTCAACCTAAAATGGCACTAACGTTAGAAATTCCCAGTTCTAAGGCGTACTTATTTAACAGACATTTAACAGACTAGGCGCACACGTTACCTCAGATTAGCGCTGGCCACGCACTTTTCCTCTTCTTCGCGAGTTTTAGGAGGTCTAAATCAGCACCCTGCCATTTGCTTTGCGAAGCAACGTGTTCGCTCAGAACTGACAAACAGTTAGGTAACAGCGTGACATTGACTGAATATTCAAAAATTGTCACAGAACAGCAATTAGGTGATAGAATCACATTTCACGTCTCAAATATAATATTTGAATTGAGAAAACTTATTCAAATGATAATTTAAACTAATTTTCTTTGTCGGAGAAGTAATTTCAAAAACTCGTGGTTCGGGTTTCATCAGGTTTCCAAAGGGTGTCTCTAAAACGAAGACCTCTAAAACGAAGACCCTAAGACCCTAAGACCATAAGACCCTAANACACCGACGTGCGCTTCCAACGCCTTGTTAAACAAAACAAGATATTTGCACTTACTTCAATCAGGAAAATGCACTGAATCAGGAAAACTTCTTGGGCGTATCCACTCTGCCATCTTGTAGAGCTTTGACGTCTGTCAAATATCACATTTTTCGCAATTCTACGAAACAAGCAAATAGTTTGCCCATTCGACGATGGATTTGTTTACCCCGAGGCTGTTCTCGTTGAATTTAACAGCGAAAGTTAGACCAATTTTATGCCCATGATGGAGAACCTGTTTTCGCACTTGAAAGCGAATTATGGCAAACTTCCTTTGCAGAAAACTAAAAATATATATTTGGAAATGATGAAGGACAAAAGTTGTCAAAAATGAGGTCATGTTGTCAGTATAAACGTTTTGCGAGCTTCTTCTTTTACATTCCAGTTTGCCAATTTTTTTAATCGCATATCCTTGGATTTTGCGTTTATTCTAATAACTCAGTGAACTTTTAGCTATAATCATAATAAAAATAATTTAGATTATCGAGACATAATAAAACTAACACAAATCAAAACAATTGACAGCTGTAAATGTAAAATCTCTGATAACCACTCCAGTGAAACAACATGTAACGCGACGCAAAATTCACTTATTCCGTTTTCTATCTCATTTGGCTCATTGATATGGACTGAAGTGTGCTCTCTGGGTGACACGAAAGCCCCTGAACGCAAGCTGCAGGAAATCAATTGATTATATGAGAGATGTATTACTTTATAGGGAGAGAATAAATAAGATCATATATTATGAAACTGTGTAAAGCCGGGTAATGTTTAGAAAAGGCTACTCTGTTTGCTTGTAATAATAATAATATTCCGATAGTTTTAGATATGAAACACATTAGTACGTAATTAAAGCGAAAAAACAGACGCGGTATAATGGTAGGTAATGGTAATAGACCATTTTACAGTTCTGCGAAATGTAACCGAGCCTTCGCATGGAAGATTTGGGTTTAACCGGACTGTGAGGAGTCCTGTGAGGATAGATAACTTAACACGATAATTAACATCTGAAAAACAGCAAAGTTTGTGTCATAATTAAATCAACTCCAGCCACGCTTGGGCGCGAAGCAAGGAACTGTAAAATCATTTGTTTCTTATTGTCTTGTGAAATTTATCCCCAGCAAGCAAATCAAATGGTAAAAACTCAGATAGCTTTCGATATAAAAGTAAAACACTACAGAGCACCGAACCATTGCTGCCGAATGATTTGAAAAAGGTTTTCACGCTGTTCCGTTAGTTCAGGAGCCTTAAAAATCAGAATCAAATATATTTTAATCACCGCTTACTGTAAAAATATGGGCGTCAAGGACATTTGTACCCCGACATGAAAAACACAGCTCAAAGTTGTAACATCTGTAATGGTTAAAACGGTGTGTAAAACAACGCATTTAAATGTTAGGATTTGGTAGATTATTGGACTCCACGCAAGCTGCCCAAGCACTTAGACTGTAAAGGGATTTTTTCACCGCCTTTCCCGTTCTCCAGTTAAGGGGAAAATTAACGAAACCACAATATGAGCCGTTTGACGCCACATTCACTGTCGGAAAATATTCGTTAAGTTCTATCTTAGCAAGGCTTAATCATTTGTTAAGACACCAGTCGAGACTGGTTTCCGCAGAATGCCAAGCTTAATCACGTGACTAAACATGCACTCATATACTCCCTAAAGAGATCTGGGTTCGATATGATCACGTGACTAAATTGTTTTCGTCTTAACCAGTCTGTGTGGTCCATGAAGAACAAGTAAACAATTTCAACACGGAATTATTTAAATCAACTCTTTCTTTCAAGTCTCTGTAAGCAAAGGGAAACCGTGATCCTGTCATTTCATAAAACTGTTAAGACCGTTAGATGAAAAGCAATAGCAAACCCTAACGAGACACAAAACAATTCACTGAAGGAGGACATCTTCAGCTGTTTTGATTGCGCTTTTCCAAATTAAGCATTTCATGTTTTGAGAACAATGGTTAAATTCATATTAACTATTTGCCCAAGTTATTTTCCGGCAGATGGGTCAAGAGTCGTTCGTGGCCGGTACCTGCAAAACAAGAAACAAGAACAGGTTGTTTAGCCTTCTCTTTAATCTCGACCGTAACATGATCAGGAAACCGAAATCATGGCAGGAACTTCAGCAAGAAGAAAAAAATAGCGTTGAAGAAAGTGTTCCACGAAGTGAACAGGCTGCGAGAAAAAATACGACCGGCGCTGATGACGACGGTAGCGAGGATGAGTTGTATGGCTTGGCTCTCATACTGCGAAACACTGAAGACGTCGTCAGAAAGAACGATAATTTGTACAGTGTGTCATACCAGCACCAGCCTAACAATCAAGAAAATATTGAGGAACAAGCAACATCTAGTTCATCGAAATACGAAGAAGACAAACCACACTTTAGGTGTTGCCCGAGTCTAAACAGACGCCTCGTTATTTACAAGAGTTTTTACTTCTTTTTCTTCTCAGCTGTTGGTTCGTTATTTCCTTATCTCGCGGTATTTTATAAACAGCTATGGCTTTCTGCGCACGAAACTGGAATATTAATTGGCATCAGACCTCTGATACAGCTTTTTGGAACACCAATGTGGGGAATAATAGCAGATACATACAAGAGAGGCAAGGTCGTTTTCGTTATGTCTCTTGTGGCGTGGCTGGTTTCCAACTATTCTCTGTCTCTTGTATCCCCTGTATTTCATTTAGGCGTGTGCAAAGACAACGCAACGGTGGGAATTGTGCAAGAAATTATTGGAGAACTTGAGAATGGAACCACAGCCGGGAGGAATTCCGCCTTTCATCATAAGCAGAAGGCACCTCAACAAGTGAATACAGGGAATGCTAGTAATCATTGGTTTGAAATTGTTGGAAAAGTGAAGGAGAGAAATGCATCGAAGCGAAACACAATTAAACGTCCAAAGGAGAAAAGGCGAGGTCAAGTAAACACAGCGCTTCCGGTCGAGGACAATCAAATTATATTTCGTAATGCATCAAAAATCAAGAGAAAAAGCGGTAATAAACATCGCTCTCTCGCCAAATCGATAGTAAATCGCATAAACTCATCTACAGGGAATAAAAAAAGTTTTCCACCTAAGAAAAAGACGGGTGGCGTCAAGCTAAACTTAATGAAAAGAGACTTGAAACCCTACATCCAGGCAAGAACGAACTTCAATGTTCCACACTTAGTTAAACAACGTGGCATGATTACAAACAACAATGCTGTGATCTCCAAATTAGATCTCTTTGAACTTCTTCATAATTCAAGCGATATTGATATTGACGAGCTTTCCAGCAGATTAAACAGAGAGCGCGTAGAAAGAGTTTTTGATTCTCTTAACATGGCAGGAGAGTACCCATGGCCACTGGACACAGTTGCTAACTTTGACTTGACACAAAAGTCACATGACTGGCAAACTCCTCGAGATTCTCAATTGTTTACCATTCTTTTTGTTATTACTGCTATTGGGACATTAATTGCCGCACCAGCCATCACCTTAGCTGATACTGCTACACTGCAAAACCTTGGTAAGCCTATCAACTTTAATGTTATAATTACACGAACATAAAAACACATTTTAGACAATAACCCACCCAGCCTATAAGTTACCTCAAGAGAATCATATTCTCTTGGTTATCTTTATCGCTGGCCCGGATTGTTAAATGGTGGATAACGCTAACCACCAGATAAATAGCTATCTAGTTGATAGCGTTGTATAAGGTTAACACTTATCCACTATAAACCGTTTTATCCACTCTTTGAACAACTGGGCCCTGGTCATTACATTGCTTCGAACACACGCATGACTGAGACCTAGGGCAAACGTCGAGCGCATCGATTGAATAGCACGGGGACACGTGCTTATTCCCGTGTTTTAATGAGGTGAAAATGTGAAATAGGATCGACGTAGGTTCGACGCTTGCTACCACGTACGCTGGAATTAAGTCGAATCTTTGTCGCACCTATTTTTAATTTATTCGACGCGACTTGGATTCCACGTTTGCCCTAGGCCTAACCGTTATCTGAAGTATAAATTTTAACAAAGCTTTCCTCCGTTTTCTCCGGTTTTCTTTTCAAACGAGACATCCTTAGCGTGTCTTACAAGACCAAAAACAGTTCTGTATGAAAAGGACTCGCCAGATAGTCCAAAGTTTTTTATCCATAGCAGCTAACGTCAGTATTCTGTGTTCAATTAAAAAAACTCACGAGTAGGTACCTCTTCCAACCAGCCTACAACAAAGAGTAGTAATATAATGTCAGATCATAGACATGTAAACACTTAACTCGCCGTTGGTTATTCTAAATACCCATCCAGTAATTGTTTATTATTAGATTCTCAGACTTGGAAAAGGCGTCTGATTCGGTCAACGATTCTCGGTTATCGGCTATTATACCTGGGTCTTTTTTATCTTATATGGATGTGGAAGCACAGTGGCCTCATGGTTAGTGAGCTCGTCTCCGGATCGAGCGGTCCGGGTTTGAGCCTGGCCGGGGACATTTTGTTGTGCTCTTGGGCAAGACATTTTACTCTCACAGTGCCTCTCTCCACACAGGTGTATAAATGGGTACCGGAGAACTCAATGCTGGGGGTTACCCTGAGATGGACTATAGTCGCTACATGCTACAGAAACCGGGTTAAGCTCCGGGCTGATGGGCCACTTGGCTTGTATGCAAACTTTACCTTTTACCTACCCCTCTCAAACTCATTAATTATTCATGCAGCTCTTATCCAACCAGAGCATCTTATTCTGGTCACGTGGATGGGTTTAGAAACCCAGTTAAAAACGAGTTGAAAACCACGGCGTGTTTGGAAATAATTTCAAACACGGATGCAAATTTTCTTAATTTGCATATTGATAAAGCAAGAAAAACACATGACGATAAAAAAATGTATTTAATCACTTTACTTTTTATTTAATCATTTTACAAAACAAACTTTAAACCTAAATTATTTTAGTACTGCTGGCGTTAAATGTAACGGTACAGTTATTAAACTCCCCAAAACAGAAAGGGCCATTCTTTTTCTAAAATTTAAATTCTCGCTCAATGGTGGCGACCTCGTCTTTTGGTTCGCTTTCAACCTTGCTGTACACTTTCAACCTAAAATGGCACTAACGTTAGAAATTCCCAGTTCTAAGGCGTACTTATTTAACAGACATTTAACAGACTAGGCGCACACGTTACCTCAGATTAGCGCTGGCCACGCACTTTTCCTCTTCTTCGCGAGTTTTAGGAGGTCTAAATCAGCACCCTGCCATTTGCTTTGCGAAGCAACGTGTTCGCTCAGAACTGACAAACAGTTAGGTAACAGCGTGACATTGACTGAATATTCAAAAATTGTCACAGAACAGCAATTAGGTGATAGAATCACATTTCACGTCTCAAATATAATATTTGAATTGAGAAAACTTATTCAAATGATAATTTAAACTAATTTTCTTTGTCGGAGAAGTAATTTCAAAAACTCGTGCTTCGGGTTTCATCAGGTTTCCAAAGGGTGTCTCTAAAACGAAGACCTCTAAAACGAAGACCCTAAGACCCTAAGACCATAAGACCCTAAGACCCTAAAACGAAGACCCCCTAATTTTCTAGGCATTTTTTACCGTTAGTGAAGTTCTGCTCTTTCTTCATCCGGCCAATTTTGTTCCTATTGGTGTCGATGTTTTGTCCGCCATCTTGAGCTGAGTAACCAGGCTCCCACACTTGGCCGGAAGTTAGGCTACCTACCGATTTGCTTCCAAACGCTCGAAAACAATAAAACCATTCGGCCTGCGACCTCGTGGTTTCAAATGTTTCTCGCGTTTGGAAACCTGATGAAACCCTCGCACTCGTTTTTGAAATAGTACTTGATCTTTAATGGAAAATGAGTATGGCAAAAGTCGCTAAGCTTCAAACATTTTCGGCCTCGTGCGAAAGTTGGGTCGGAAAAGATTTGTTAAGCTTTCTACCGCGGGAATTTATTTATTACAATTCATTCATAGACTAGCCTAGAAATTATGACAATAAAATACAAGATACAATGGCAAAAAATCCCTCCCTGATACCACACAAAAGCCACAAAACGTCACCAACTGTAACTCAACTATTTTACGAAAACGTTCTAAATTGACACGTCATGAAAATGTTCAGCAACAAAAGCTATGTATTGTCAGGTGTCAGGACGAAGAAGGAAAACAACAAAGATATCATATCATATCTTGATTCACGAAAAGATCCAAAACCTAATACAATCTCGTTCTGAAATTGCATAAAACTGATTAGGCTTAGCACTTTAGTAAAGTTTGTTACCTTGCATATGAGTCTTGTCTTCTTGATCGATCCTTCAGTTTCGTTTCAGGTCAATTGTAGTCCTGATGATGGCAGCTTCGGAACCGTAAAGAAGTAAACACCTGCTTCATTTGACTAGTTCAAGGCATGGCAAATAAACAGAATGAATGAATGAATGAATGGAATTTTCAGCCACGCTATTACTTCGTATCTTCCCATACACCTCAATCTTCTTAATCTAAGGACTTTGGAAGAGTCTGTGCAAGGAATTCTTCCCGGGGAAAAAATCAAAATGGGGTCGCTTCATTTCCTTCCATGTTTCATTCACCTCAAAGGTGGACGCCGCGAAAACATTTTTTAGAGGATATTACATTGCCGCGCGGAGATACGAAATTTCTCTGCGAGTGTTGAAAGTGTTTTCAACACTCGAAGAGAAATAAATTTCGAATCTCCAAGAGGCCATGTAATGTTCTATTTATTATATAAACACCAATGAAATAACAAACCATTTAATTTTCGCCGGGAAAGGCGCGATTTATTTTGTAACCATAGCAACGGTGATCTTTTCGCATGTGAAGATAACAAATTATTTTTACGTGTGAAGAGATCATGTTTTCGCGCGAAAGCTCACCTGGCATTAGATTGGCGTTTATATAATAATGACTTTTAATTAAGTTTTGTTGGGTGCACTAAGGCTTTGTCTTACAGAGTAACATATTCTCTTTCATCATTTGTAGGCAACAAACCGGAAGACTACGGCAAGCAGCGTTTGTGGGGAGCTTTTGGCTGGGGACTGGCCGCCTTCATCGTGGGATCAAGCTTAAGTACAATTGAAGAGATCAGCAACTGCAACAATCCTTTGAGCGTAGACTACTTGCCTTGCTTTTACGCATTTGCCTGTCTCATGGGTGTGGCTCTCTTAATTGGAGCCTTGTTTGAGTTTGACAAGAAAGAATCACTCGAAACGAACATTTGGCAAGGACTTGCAGTGCTCTTTGACTGTCGATACATGTACTTTATCATCACGATCCTTTTCTGCGGAAGTGCATTGGGCTTTATAGAGACATTCCTATTTTGGCATTTGCAAGATTTAGGCGGTACGCAGTTCTTGTTTAGTACAATCACAGCTATACACTGTATTTCTGAAGTGGTAGTTTACTGTTGCTCTGGTATGTTCATCAAATGGCTGGGCCATCATCAAGTTCTATACGTTGGACTTTCTTGTTACATCATTCGATTCTTCGGTTATGCCTTTATAAGTAACAGTTGGGTGGTCCTACCTTTTGAAATCCTTCATGGCTTGTCAACGGCAGCTGTATGGTCAGCGGCTGTCGTCTTTGTAGGACTCATTCCTGAGGCGCCGGCAACCATGCAGGGCATTCTGGGCGGAGTGCACTGGGGTCTTGGAAATGGCGGTGGAGGGGTGGTTGGAGGACTATTAATCACTTATGCCGGGGCAACGAATTCTTTCCTTATATTTGGCATTATCAGTCTTGTGGATTTGAGTTTGTTTATTTCTTTAAACAACATGGAATTTTTCAGCTGTTTTGAATGGTCCAAGGGGATTGGCACACGGACTCAGTATGCTTTACAGGAAGATAAGGCAGCAGAAAACGAGGAATTAGAAACGGATTACGATGACCTTTACTGAACACATTAAGATCATATTACGAACTCACAAAGTGACCAGCTCCCAGTTGGCTTAATAACTCATTTGGTAGAGCACTGCACCGGTATCGCAGAGGTCATGGGTTCGAATCCCGTTCAGGTCTGAATTTTTTGCAGGCTTTAATTTCACAACTGCTTAAG